ATCCTAGCAGAGCTGATCCTGAAACTCTGTCAAGATTTGATTTGTAATACAGGCTGACTCTAGCTTGGAGGTTTGTCCTTCAGGAACTGACTTGATCAGTTCTCAGAGAAGAGATGAAAAAGTTAGAATTCAGCATGTATAAATTAGATCTACCTCTTTCTTCTTGCTTTTGTCACTAAGTTTGCTACCAGATTCTACCTCTTAATTGAGTTTGATAATTTATTGTGATTTTATAGGATATAAAGAAAAATTACATAGGTTTTCAAGACAATATTATCTTCAGATTCCCATAAAAATACAAGTAGATACTACTTATGCTATTTGTGTTAACACATCACAATATAAGCCTGGGTGTACACACAAAATGTGTGCATGTTTTGAGAATGTCTCTGATAAACTTTAAAGTTAGGAATTGCCTGGTTTATTCTAAGTGTCACTCATCTATGCAGTAAATTACAGGAATAGATGCAGCTATGATGGAAGTTATACAGATCAATTCTTTATCATGGGATAAAAAGGAGAAAAGCATTAGGCTTTTTGCTTATATGCTCACATAGTCTTTTCATCATCAGTGATATAACTTGGTGTGTATTAAAAAGTGTTTGTGATGTTTATAATTGTGTTTCTCCAAGTCACAACTGACTGAAAAAGCATCACATGTATAGTAAAATACCTTGAAAATAAAGATTTGCTAAGGAAAAAAACTCATTTCTGTTCTTCCTGCTCTCCTTTTTGCATAAATTCTACAAATGCATCTCCAAAGTATCAAGATCATTGAAATTTTCAATACTCTGTGACCACAGAGTACAACATATCTCAGAAAAAAGTTGCATGATCAAATGAGTTCAAAGAAACAATTCTGCAACTGCATGTAACCCAAAATCCATGTCCACAAATAGATGACCATTAAATTCTGTAACATTTTACCAAACCAAACCAAACAAAAAAAAAAAAAAAAAAAAACCAAAAAAAAAAAAAAAAAAAAAAAAAAGAAAAAAAAAAAAAAGAAAAGGGAAGTGCAGAAGACTTAAGTGGCTGAAGTCCCCACAATAGCAGCAATATTGAGTTAGGCAGCATAATCTGAACCTGCATTTTAAGCAGTGGGTGTTCCTGCAGTAGAGAAGAGGAAAGGAAGAGAATGGTGATAGGACCATCTCTTAGACCTCTCATCCTCAGTAGAGTTTTCCAGTCCCTTTCATATTCCATATCTTTTAGGCTGCAGAAGACTTAAGTGGCTGAAGTCCCCACAATAGCAGCAATATTGAGTTAGGCAGCATAATCTGAACCTGCATTTTAAGCAGTGGGTGTTCCTGCAGTAGAGAAGAGGAAAGGAAGAGAATGGTGATAGGACCATCTCTTAGACCTCTCATCCTCAGTAGAGTTTTCCAGTCCCTTTCATATTCCATATCTTTTAGGCTGGGAAAATGCTGCCATCCTGTTATTCCATATGCTGACTAACCAGCTGCTTTGCCCATAGTCCTTCAAAGGAATGAAGGGGACAGCTCCAGATCCTTTTCTGCCTTATCCAGCTACAGATTTTCATAGTTTGTTGGAACTTCATATTTTTCAGATTTCAGTCTCTAGCAAACCGAATAAAGTTGGCAAATGGATTTAAAAGTTAGTGGGAGGTGGAGGTGACAGGTTAGCAAGTGGACAGCAACATAATTGCATACATTTTTCCCAATGAAAACCAGGCTAAACATAACCAAGATACATATAGATAGTGAAGGAATATGTCCTGAATCAAGCTCAGCTGTAATAGAATTGTCAGTTATCTGTCGTCTGCACCTTCCTTAGAAGTTAGCTAACCAGACCATTTTTCATCTGCTTACAAGTAAAAGATAAACTTTTGCCACTTTTCAGGAATGGGCAAGAAAATACCAATTTTTTTTTCAGCTGGATCAGTTTATCTAGACTGTGAAAGCTCAAACACCAAGAGGATACTGCCAGCAAAGACAGAGAAAAAAAATCTGCTTACTTCCTGGTAGGATAATGAGAGTGTAGCAGCGGAGGTGTGTATTTCAAAATCACAGCAAACTGTGCTTTATCCAGAATGGTACCACAGCATTTGACACATGTGCTGTAACCACATGGAAACCATGGCAATGGAGGAAAATTGTAGGAGGGAGATTGTATGGTATAGCAAGACAAAAAACTCAGCAAAACCAGGAAAATAAATTTGTATTATGTAAAGGAGATATGACACAGTTGTGCTGTTCAAAGGTTATTCCTTATATAAAAAGAAACATTGGTAATAATGAAAATCCTTTCTTAGAAGAGTAGGCGCATGAGCAATGGTAGGTAGGTAGGTGGGAGGACCAGCGTGGGTTGTGAGACCAATATTAGATTTAAAGTACTCAGAGAGGAAAAGTCCTACAAGATGAAAAATTCCCTTCAAAAACAACAGTGAAAGCAAAAGGGAGCATGTTTTTAAGTTGTTTGCTCTGCCAGAGATGAAAATGAAACCACCTCGAGACTGCATACAGCAAACAGAGAAAGGGAGTAGCAGATCTCTGACAATTACCACGGTACAAACACAGCTTTCACAAGGTGCCTTGCTCTTCAGAGAGAAAAAAACCCCCATAATTAAAGGAATGAAATACCACTCAGCTTTAAGGTGTTAATAATGTCCTGGAAGGTCAACTAGAAAGTCCACTAGTGACAGTAAAAGGCTGCCTGCTGACTAGAGGGGTTTTTGGCTCATTTCCACAAAGCTCTTATTCAGGTGCAAATTGAAGAGTAAGCCAAGGAAATAACTTGTAATCACACATCACATAATTGCTTGATGACCTATATTCAGTGAGGTAGGGGCCCTAATTTAATCTCTGTCCAACACGCCAGCAAAACTCTATCACATCTCTCAGAGTAATCAGGGTAGCCATGGGATGAACAAGCAATGTCATGATGAAGGTCAAGTCACACTACTAAGAAAGTATGAAGAAGTCTGTGAAGAAAAAGACCCAGCTTAACAGAAGCCTGCAATTCCCAGAGCAAGCACTTGGCTGTTTCTCATACCCCCCCCAAACTATCATGTTCAGCAGAAAGGAATAAAAGCAATGCATAATTATGTATTATATGAATCATCTCTGAAAGTGAAAGGCTTCCCAGGAAGAGATATTTCTATAAAATATCATCATAGATTAAAAGAAATAATTCTATTTCATCCCAATTTATGCTGGAAAGTCATTGGAAAAGAAAAGTAATTTCATGTTTTCTCCTCTTTTTTGTTTTACTACTATTTACCATTTTCCCTTCCTTCTTGTGCCTCATGATTGACATCCTACTTCTGCATAGCTCCTAAACTTACAGGAGTTTTACAGAGTGCAGCTTAAAATTAAGCACATTCCTAAAAGCTTTCCCGAATAGAATGGGATTAAAAAACATGTGAAATTAAGTATTTGTACAAGCACTTTGCTGAATTACAATGACTTCAAAGCCAAACCCAAAAGCTTCTGCTGCCTGGCCCCTCTGATTAAACATCCTCTGTGGGTGAACAGTGACATGCAGGACTTTTGATTTTTAATAGTTCTATATTCTTTTGCAAATCTTATATCTACAGAGAACAGAAATGACCAAGAGCAAATACATTTACTGTGATGCATTGCAATTCACATATACATTATGGAACTCTGAAATGCGTGTTTCTAAAGTCTCAAAAATACTAAGCTCCATGCCTGATAAAGCCAAACATAAAGCATGGCTTGATGAAGTTTGTGGTGGTGCATAACATTTATGTTCACCTTGCAGAGGTTGCAATAACTGATCTCAGAGGAGGAGTTTTGGCTCAGGAAAAGATGTGGTAAAGTCTGCTGGATGATAAAAGGAATCACTGGGTCCCTCGAGCAAGTGCCAGCTAGATTATGAAAATCCCTGCAGAAAATGAGACTGCTTTCTCCTTTGGACACTACTGGAAAGACAAAGCACAAGCAATCCCTGGCTTCCCTTGAGACAAAGTAAGGCAGGCTGCTGTGGGCAGCTGCAATAAGCATGCTTTTTTCTGCTGGTCTATTCATGACTGATGTCAAGAGCATGACATTCTTAACAAGGATCAAATGGTTTTCTCTAAAATCTATTTCTCAGATAAGGCCTCTGGGAAAAAAATGGGGTAGAGGAGGACAAGGAAGGAGAGGAAATTAATGAGAGAAATACATAAGGAGTCTTTTGTCACTAATCATGGGTACTAGAAGAGGAAGAGATCCTTTTTATTTTTTTCTCATTTTAAAGCTACAGCCTTAGGCGAGTTATACTAAAATCACGTTATTTTTGGTCCAGTGAACTATGATTCACTGTTATAGCTAAGAATTTTGTAGAAGACACGGAGACAATTATTGATTTTAAATCTGCACTATTTTCTTTTATGTATATAATTTATTTTCTTGCTTTAGGGGACATCTCTATCTGAGAATCATTTAAAATAAAAGACTAATACCAAAATTGTCCATTTGTGCAATTTTCCTGAGAATTTGGGTGGCTTTTTTAAAAGGCCCAAATAAAAGAAAAACACAGTGGCATTTAAAAAACCAAAACCTCATGATTCTTTTAGACTAAAACTTTCATGAACACTTACAAAAGTTTCAGTTTTTGGTTCTCCACAAAATACAGTGCAATTCTGAGTGGAAAGCATGGATTTGAGCTGTAAAGACTAGCTCAGGGCTAATTTCATATGTTAAGTATACAATAATACACAAGTATGCAAAGCTTTTGCAGGCCAAAACTGTATTTTATCAAAGTACATACTTGGATACCCACTTAACACTAACAGGTTAAAATACTTCGCAAATTCAAAGTGCTGGTCCCTTTTCAGAATAATATTGAAATACATTCCCAAATTTACTCTTGTTCAGAAAAGAAAATGTAAAAATAAACGTGACCAAACACTTCAAATAAGTTCAAATACTTTCCTTAACTGGTACCTAGAAGTAAAGAGTAGAAACAAACAAAAAGAGAAACTTTATGTCTTACTATAGAGGTCTACTTGATGTAGTAAAATACAGACTTACTTGAGGGTGGTGAGCTCTGTAAGGGATGGTTGGGTGGCCTTGAGATAGCTCTCTCTCCGTGCAGCAATCTTTGGAGATGGCTTCGGACTTGTGTCTGAGTCTCCACTGTCATCATCCCCCATGGCTTTGATGTAACTGCCACTACGCATTCGTCGGCAAGGAATCTCATCATCTTTTCCTCGTGGAGTGTATCCAGTCCATTCATCTTGAGGAACCTGAAGTGATAACCACAATTCTCTTATTAGTACGCTCTTCTCTGATTTGACCATGATAAGCCACAATAGAGCCATAACAAAACCTCTCATGGCCAAGGGCTTATTCTCAAACCCATTTGACTATGGGTTGCTGTGAGAAGGAGGCCCACTTCTCCTCCTGCGGTCATGAACATCTCTAGAGTTCTTTGCTATTTTGTATTACTCATCTGCTAAGCTTTAGCAAACATGCTGACATAGAAGCCTCAGTTAGGTCTAATAATGGGCTGGATAGATCAGGGGTTTTCCAGTGATTTTCATTCAAAGCACTTGTAAACCAGTTCAGGGTATTTTTTGATCAGCTAAACATATTGAACATCCTTAGGGAGGCACAAAAGCTGAAATACAAATCCCTGTATCACAATATTTTCTGACAGAGTGTGCGTAAGAGCAGTCACCAGGATGATTTTGGTTCAAGACACATTTGAAATTAGTGAAGCTATGTACTAATTATCACAAAAGTGTGAAATTTTACTACTATTGCTTCTATAGCATAATTAGTGCAACTGAACACCCGTCAGCTTGCAGGGATCCTCCTTCTGTTAGTCTGAGTGTCTGAGTCATACAACTCTTTATTCCCTTCTTTTTCTTCTTCTTCTTCTTGATGTGTATTATTTCTCTTGGTCTTAATTCAGTGTTGTCCCTTCTTTGTATTGAAAATATGGAACTCTGGCAATGTGCATGCATGAGATTTTGAGACCTTGCAAAGGACAATCCAAGAGCACAGTGTTCCTGTCCCACCCATCCTCTCCCTTCCTCTGCTCCTGGAATTTCAGACCATTTAAAGCAACATCCTTCTCTTTCCTGTAACTCCAGAAACAAGATGCAGTGGATCAGGGTCTTTGAAGTTATGTTGAAGAAACATCATTTTTATACTAAAGACGAACCTGAAAAAAGACTTTGTAGTTAAACATGTTTTGAGCTAGACTTAAATACAAGTAGTTGTGAATTTGTAGTTTGCTGCTTCTCTTATTATTCCCAGTGAATCAACTCTATAAAGGCAGCTACAGCTACAAGGCTCAGAAAAACCTTACAAGCCACATTAAACAAGAAGTCATGAATCTGGGTTACTAAATTTGTCTTGCAGCTTACAAATACTGTCACCTACGAGCGTAGTCAGAGTGCCTCTTTTCTATGGAAAGTTTGCTCTTCATCAACATTTAACTTCTGCTGAGGATGTTATGTGTCCATTTCTTCCCAGATTTTAGACAGTGTTTTTAGACAACCAAAACTGAAACACCGGAATGTTTGCTAACAGCTTAGCTATTGATTCCCATTACAAACAGAAGTCTAAGCCCAGAGGCTGCAAGGCATTTCAAATGCTACTGTCAATATAGGTAAATTTTTTATCGTCTTTTAATGGCCTTTTATCACTCTATACTCCTATAAACTGTAACCCGAGTACCACTGTGCTATATGAAAGAACCAGGATACTTAATGATCCTAAGAGTTTATCAGCTTATTACTAATTATAATTAATTCATTATATTAATTACAGTAACTATATTAATTAAACTATTCATAAGCTATGCCTTTGCCTTGTTTCCTGTCAATTTCAAACTCAAGACCTTGTCAACTTTCTTCCATCACTGACTCTCCTTTTCCTGCTACTGTCATAGTGATTTACAGCCTTCCTTGTACTACCAGGCCCAAACAAGTGCTTTCCTCTTGTGCCTTCTGTTCTCCCAGATTTCTCTTGGTTAAGTCTGGCCTTGAAACTCATTTGGAGCTTCAGTATTTTCCTTAAAGGACTGAAGAGTTAATTCTGGAAGTCTACTCTAGTTTGTACCTTTTTCAATATTTCTTCTTATGACTCAGTCTTCATTCCTTCCTTGTGCTTTTTTAAAGCAAATTTCCACATTTCCTTTATACAACCTTTAGTTAATGGCTTTGATAACTCTAAGAAACATTTAAATTCTTATCTTTCAGCAGCACACAAAGTTTGTTGCTTGTTTGTTTGTCTGGGCTTTTTTGGTTTTGCTTTTTTTAAATATCTGTCTGGGCTTCAAGCATGTAAGTTCCTTAAGGCAGGAATATAGCTTAAGGTCCAGTTTTGCTACCGCAGAATTGTGTGCATCTATAGGAAGTTAATGAATAAATACATCTAAATCACTTATAATATTATTCTAAGAAAGGGTAAGACAATAACTAAGATTGAGAGCACTAAAGACTACCAGAACCCACTGAAGGGACAAGATTGAATAAACAGCTTTGATATGTTTCCACACAAGAAGAAAAAGAAAAAAAGTAGGAAAGAAAAAGCAGTATTTCAGTTCGGTGACTTCTAAGTTTACGTCTGGACATCAGATCTGGAAAGCTAATGCTTTCCTGGTATGTATACATCTGTGAAGTCCAAATGAAGGTAATACTCAGTCGTGGTTTTAATTTTGATTTTTGTCATAAAAGAGTATAGGGCATTTTACACTTCTCCCCTAGCCACTTGTGACAAGACAGAGGATAAAATTTTTTTCAGGTCTTATTCTTGCATTGGTTCTAGGCCTAGAACACCATCAAACAGTGAATATACAATCTGTATTCATACCACCTCTAACATACATTTTGGAACCTACAGCTTCTGCTTGTCAATAGTAAAGCTTTCACTTCTCAAATCACTCGTGTACAAAAAAGAAGTTAACACAGGCTTAGTAAAATCAAGCTCTGCTGACATTTTGATGACATGCTCAGACTTCAGTCAGAAGTTTAAAACCTGTAATAGTGTATTTCCAACCTGTTTTTAGGCATATATTAGATATCGAAGTCATAGCATGTAGAAAATCTGTGAATTCTCAGAGGATATGCACTTTGATCTCTTTAATATCTTATTCATTATGCTTTAGTTGAAGATCTGTGCTTTTTCTCACTAAGATAAATTAGCAAATTAATCTTTAATGCATTAAATAAAATATGTTAGTATAATGTTAAGGTTGGTGTCTCTAACTGAGAAAAAGTCAGGAAAGTTGAAGTTACAATGCTCATGCAGCAGTGGTAATTCAGGCAAGCTGAATACTTGTAGCTTTATTAGGTAATAGACACACTTAAATGCAATGCTGTCATTGATAGGTGCAGTACAAATGATGAGCTGTAGTTACTCTCTGCACCATAACTCTGGAACTACTGAGTTATTTTATCAATAACCCCATATGCAAATACAATACCTTTTATCCCAAAGCTTCTCAAAATGATTTATATACAATAGGCCAAGTTTTGAATGCTGGTTTCAATAGTTGTACCACAAAACTTCCCATTTACACAGGCAAACACTGTGTACAGTGATAAGCTTTGAATGCATTGCTCTAGTCCCAGAGTTTGTACAATGCGATCGAATGTTGCCGGTCTGAGCTCTGCTCGTATCAGTGAATTGAGCAATCACTGAGAAACAGCAGGCTACCTTTCTAGTAGCTTTTCCACCTTTTAAAAAACACTAGTTGCAGATAACACATAGACACTAAGGCAAAGCAGACCCAGGGAGTGCCACAAATGCACTGGCTGGTTTACATATTGGAAGTTACCTGCATGTGCAAACCCAAAGGAATTGATACAAAAGTGACCCAAGTTCCACTGCTACATTATGGGTTTAAGGGTAAACCCTGTATGCACCAAAGAGAAAAGGATAGCTATGGTTACAAAAACCATCCAGATTTAGAGAACAGCCTAAAATATCAACCCAGATACGCTTCTAATTTCAGTTACCACATTGAGGAAGTCAGAGTGTTTGTGCAAACTATCTTGCCTGCCTAGACAAAGCTGTAGTAGAATGTAATGGGCATTTGATTAAAAACCTGTTTTAGGTAAACTTTTTGAACAGGGTATTTTGCAGTGTTTTTCATTTAGTTTTGTTTCGTTTTTTACACCTTTTTTTTTTGGTGGTTTTTTTTTTTTTTTTTTTTGTTTTTTTTTTTTTTTACGGTAAGGTTTCAGTATTTAAGAGAATATTAGAGACAGAAATTTGGGTCCAGCTCCCCTTTATCTTATTTCTTATTTCAGATTCACAAGAGTCAAACCCCCTTGTTTCAGAAGCTGGAGTAGGAGAAAACAGGAAGACATCATGTAACTGGTAAAGAGCATTCGCAGGATAAAGAAACACTTTAGAAGTTTTGCTTTGGGTATTAACAGTTATAATACTCTTTATGAAAGGATCTCAGAGCACTGTCTGTGTATTACTTGAGTAGGACAAACAACCCTTAAAGCTCAGCATTTCTTTTCATTGTACCTATTTTGCTGTTTAAAAAAAACAGGCAGATAAAATGTCAGCATTTTAATACTGCTGTGCCTATAGGCAAATACCTCAAGCAATACCTACTAAAAGAAGTGACCTGATTTTCAGAGTGCTTTCTTTGGTGCCTAAAAGGAATGGCTGTAACAGCTCATGCAGACAGTGCAATTTACTGTCACAGTAAAGTGTTTCATATCCTGAGTAAAAAGTAAAACATCAAACCCTCTCCAAAATACAAGTTGCAAAGATAAAATCAATTAGATTATTTGATACATTCCATTTCTATACATATAGTATTAAACATCCTGTAGTGTATTTTCTTCTGTTGATCTAGAAAAAATGCTTGGAGATGTGTCTATGTGAACCACAAGCTCTTTTATTTTTTCAGTCAGGAGGTCTGCACATACTTTCCCACAGGCTCTTACTTTGTTTGAATGGCCAATATTATATCTTGCAAGGTCACATACTACACTGCACACAAGTGCATATGCATGGTATCTCCTGCCTTAGAGGATTAATAGGATTAAGATTGACATACTTGAGATAAAGCTGTTTCATGCTTTTAAGAAAATCATATTATCCAATTACCTTGGCAATACTATTTTTCCAGTATCAGAATATCAAGCAGGAACATCACTTGCGTGATTGTTTTTACTCTTGTGAAAAAGGGGGAACATTTAAACTCAGATCTAACAATGAATATAATTGTTTTTATTAAAATAGCACTATCACACTATCAAAGTAATAGAGATCCTGGAAACATTTAATTCTGCAAATGATCTTTAAGCTCGTGTACAATTCTTTC